AAGAAGAAGAAGAAGAAGAAGAAGAAGAAGAAGAAGAAGAAGAAGAATTGGCTCATGTTTGTGCCCAAAATGGTATTTGTTCTTTTAATGTCTATGTCTTGTTGCTCCATAATGAACAAAAAGGTCCTATCTTTTATATTTTTATCTTCTTCCCTACCAAGATACATTAAACTCTGTGCCTTACATACAAAAGTCGTAAGTACTGAAAATAATTTGGCACCAAGGAGTCATTTGATAATAGCATAAGGGGTAATCACACCAAAACCACATCTGTATTTTAATGAGGAATTCTTCTGGAAGACTGAAAAGCCATTGGTGCTGAAAGAATGGTGGCAATTTCAGGCACGTATAACAAAACGCTAGAAAACTGTTTTTCACTGAAAAACTATAAAAATTTAAGCACTGATCAGAATGTACAAAGTAGTCTTGATAAAAAATGAATTTGAAAGGACTAAAATATTAAGAATCAGTTTTCTGTTTATTCTTAACCAACAGCCTTTTCTGCACCATGATTCCACTTATTTAACCTTGTTTCTCTCTCTAAGCTCACCAGCGGTTTCCTATTCAGGAAGAACATAAATGAAGTACCAAGAGTATAATCACATGCAGAGCTTCCCCACTGCTTCAGACACCGTGTTAAACTTTGCATTTAACACCGCTCTTCATATTCCATTAGTCACTGCACTTAAAGTTGTCATAAATTTTTCGACATAAAAAGTACCTGTACTATGTCCACTAAGTTACCAAGTAAAGAAAATAGGATTTTCTCTGGATTTTTTTTTTTTTACTCCCTTAATTATTTTCATGAGAAAGAGATACCTGCTACCTTTCTCTAAATCTAAAAATGATTCTAAAATATAAAACTCAAAAATAAACAGGAAGAAACAAGACAGGAACCTACCACAGAGGACCTCTGAAAGACTCTACCCAGCAGTGTATCAAAGCAGATACTGACACTCTTAACCAAACTTAGGGCAGAGTGCAGGGAATCCTATGAAAGAAGGGGGAGATAAGGGGACCTGGAGGGGACAGGAGCTCCACAAGAAGAGCAACAGAACCAAAGAATCTGGGCCCAGGGGTCTTTTCTGAGACTGATACTCCAACCAACAACCATGCGTGGAGATAATCTAGAACTCCTGCTCAGATGTAGTCCATGGCAGCTCAGTATCCAAGTAGGTACCCTAGTAAGGGGAACAGGGATTGTCTCTTACATGAACTCACTGGCTGGCTCGTTGACCACCTCCCCGTGAGGGGGGAACAGACTTACTAAGCCACAGAGGAAGACAATGCAGCCAGTCCTGATGAGACCTAATAGACTAGGATCAGAAAGAAGGAAAAGAACACCTCCCCTATCAGTGGACTTGGGGAGGGGAATGGGAGGAGATGAGTAAAGGAGGGTGGGATTGGGAGGGGAGGAGGGAGAGGACTACAGCTGGGATACAAAGTGAATAAACTGTAATTAATATAAAAAATAAATTAATTAAAAAAACTCACATTGTTTTAAAAAAAACACAAAGGGAGTTGGAAAGTGAGGTTTATATTGAGAGATTATTAAAGATCAAATGCTTGTTTACAATTGGACCTGTCAGGATGTCCATTTCAAAATGCAATTAAATTATTCCACACAATAGACACAACAGCAATGGATGAGAGACAGCACTGGCTGTTCTTCTAGAGGACCCAGGTTCAATTCCCAGTACCCACATGGCAGCTCACAACTATCTCTAACTCCAGTTCCAGGGGACCGGATGCCCTCTACTCAAATTGAAAAATTATTTTTTAGGTTCTATTTATTTTTTCTTTGGTGGGGATATGTGTAGGCCTAAGTGTGTACATGAGCACCATGCATGTGTACACGACCAGATCCCCTGGAACTGTGCACTCCCTGGTGTGAATGCTGGGATACCTGGGTCCTCTGCAAGAACAGCAAGTGCTCTTAATTCTCTCAAGGCCCTTGGAAACATTTCAAAAGGAGTCATTAAGATGGCCAACTACTTAATTCATTTTTATTCACTCAATAAATAATTATGAGTGGTTCTGAAACAACAGCCAATATTCTTATGAACAAAGAGATAAAAATTCGTGGCTTTAGCATTGTACAACTATGCTAACTGTGAAACAACAACAACAAAAAAAAAATCAAAATAATGTGGCTAAAAGCACAGTAACTATACTCATTTTCAATTAATCATATCTTAATCTTAGAAAAGCATTGATTCCTTGGATTTTCTTGTTCTTCCATTACATTGCATTTTACTGCTGTTATTTTTGAAGAGCTGGGGAGGAAACACAGGTCTATGCACATGCTAGGCAAATGCTCTACCAATTAAACTACCTCCCAAGCTCCCGGCATCCCTCTTCCCTGCTCTCCAGGTTTTCTTATTATGCAAATACTTTTAAAGGGGGTTACCCAGAATATACACTTGATCTTCTCTCTGTACATGCCAATTTACTTACACGTTACTGCAGTGTCATGCTTTACTCTCTAATCATTCTTTAAGACTGGGGCTTTATTTGAACTTTTCAGAAGAAGAAAACCCTGGCAAAGTCAGTAAAGTCAAGCTACTTCTAGAAACTTGTACAGAGGGCTAGAGAGATGGCTCAGCAGTTAAGAGCACTTACTGCTGCTCTTCCAGAGTCAGGACCTGAGTTCAGTTCCCAGTACCCACATCAGGCAGCTCACAAGCACTTGTAGCTCTGGCTCCCGGGATCTAACACCCTCCTCTGCCTCTCGGGAAACCCACAGGCAAACGGCATATAAGCACAAAGACACACATACGTATCGATAAAAATTAGTAATAATAAAAAAATAAATGAGTACAAAAGTTTACGGTCTGGCTTTCAGTAAAAAGTTGCCCTGTACAGTCTAGCATTTTTAAGTGCAGAGTCCATTCTCTATATAAAATATTGAGCAGCACAGAAACCAGAGGGAAGAAAAATTCTTTTAACCTCGAGTTCAACACAAAATGAATGTTCAATAAATACAGGTTGAATAAAAAAGCAAACACACAATTAAGGTATTTACCATGTCAATCAAAATTATTCAATGTACTTCTAATTTTTTTTTTTTCAATTTCTAAGGAAGCAGGAAAAACCTCACTGAGTGAAACCCCAGTAAACGTGTGTTCTGACATGGATGTGACCTGTAGAGGAATCCTGGATCAACTGGGCCATGGGGATTGGGCAAATCTGTCATTCTCATAGGCCAGGCTCAAGAGCAATGGCAAAGCTTTCCTCTGGAGTGTATTTATAAAGGATTGGTCCATGTGTACAAAGACTAGCAACTTCAGTTTCCTTCTCCTAAATGTTTACTACCTGAGACTGACTGCTCTCTCTACTAAGAAATGAAACAAGACTAGCTAACCTCCCCTCTTGTATTTTACCCAAGGTTCCGAGTCATGAAACAATAGCAGAACCCTACATGATCCCATATTCACTGCACATTTGTCTCGTCATTCTTCAGTCCCACACTACTCCTTCTAACAAATACTAAATATCACTGAGCTACATCAGCCCAGTGCACCTTTTGATGACATGTTTTAAAATGTTATGACCATTATTATGTTCCTAGTCCAACTCATACTACACACAGTTCTGCATCTACTCTCTTTAGCCTTTTAAGTCACTCTTTTGAGAAAATCATGAGTTTTCCTAATAACAAAGAGTATATCAGGAGAATTTTGGTTAGAAAGGGTTTTTTGTTTTGTTTTTTTGTGTTGTTTGTTTGATACACTGTTTTTTTCATCAGGCTAAAAGGAATATACTGCCAAGTTAGCACTAGGATGCAAAGAGAAGAAAAACAGAGGTTAAAGTACTAGGTACTATGGATGAGTGTTAGCATGGTTTGAGACAACAGCAATGCTAATACAAAGGCACACCTGGGGTTTGAATCCCACCCTTCAACCAGGGTTCGTATCCCTCTAATGTCTACTTCCTAGTGATCTGTAATGTTTAATATAGACAGTAAGTAATAGACATTATAGAATTTTCATACTTACTGGTAAATGTTCAAGTAATGAAGTTACACTCTCAGATACATATATAATACTTCCATCTGTCATGATCGCTAAAAAAAAACCATCAAGAGCCTGAAATTAAACATAATGGTCAGTTAAGGGAAAAGAAAAAGGTACTTTTCTGGATAGAAACAAGATACATGACAAAGAACTTATTGTGAGACCATTTAGAGTACAAATGGCTGCTATTTTGCTTTCAGTATTTTAATAGAGTAGTTTCTGTACATCTTTAGGTGTTTCACTTGGCTAGCCACTGGAAGCTGGTTTCTAAAGGTAAGCATCAATGCTCTTCACAGCTGCACACACGCACTGTAGGGCGCACTCTGCACAGCTTACCTGGAGGTGCTCACATCTGATCACGTACACACAGAGAAGTGTAAGCTTGACGTTTAGAGCTATAAGGAAGAAACGGAATGAAGGGAGAAGACGAAATCAAGCTGGGGCTGAATCATGTAAACCCCAAACTCTTGGCAAAGGTATCTTTATTCTATACATAAAAGGAAGCCAACAGAAGGTTTTGTTTAAGGGGGCTCTGTTCCAATACTAGTACTGGGAGAAATACATAAAACAGAGAATTGAGTGAAGAAAACCTGCCTTGGGATAATCAGGAAATTAGTGATACTGAATGAAATTAGTAGCAATAAGAAAAGAAGACTGACCAAGTGTTAAGAAATACAAACATCTTCAGGAGAGAGGTTAGAGAAAAATATAGGCGACTCAATGTGTTTCATTTGTCAACTACAGGCACAGCAGTGGCAGCTGAAGAGCTGAAACCTTCAATAAAGAAACAGGCCAAAGATAAAGTTTGGAAGAATCACTGAAATATGAACATGAAGAGAAAGGAAAGAGCCAGAGAAACAACAAAGGCAGAAATTGGAACAGAGCTTGACAAGGAAAAGGAATGGTACAGTGACATCAGACAGGACAAGCAACAAGAAAATGGGCAAATTTACTGATTTTTTTCAGAGTGATGTCAACAGGAAGGTAAGCCAGTTACAATGAATTTAGAACATGTGGACAATAAAAGACTATCTTAACTCCTTCATAAATCTGACAAAGTAAGGGAGGAAGACAATTACTTTTAAAGGGTTTATGTACCAAAGGAACACAATGAAACCAAAAACTAAAGCAAAGATGACAAGTATGTATGTAGGCTGAAGGAGAGAAAGATTAAGTGGGGAAGCTGAAAGCATTTTCTTTAAATGGCTCTCTCAAAGGGTCACCACCTCTGGTAAGAGTTGTGTATGTATGTCTCAGTCATCCCTGTGTCTGGGCACAGAACACACTTGGTGCAAGTGGAAAGAATGACACAAATTATGGGAATAGACATGCAAGCAACCCCTCCAATCGGGGTTTTCTTTTTGTTGTTTTGGTGTGTGTGGGGGGAGGAGGGGTGTCTTGAAACACCTTCCATCTCTCAGACTGGCCTGGAACTCAGGTGAACTACCATGCTCAGCTCCAATTTATTCCTATTTTAGCTGTCTGCATTGCCGGGAACTGAATTCAGGGCTTCACAAATGCTAGGCAAGTGACCTATCACAAAGTTATATTCCCAGTCTCTAACTGTTGAATGTACAGTAAAAGGTATCTTTCCCCACTCTTCTCTCCTATTAGGGGAGAAATCTGGAACCAAGAGAAAAAGATTTTAAATAGTTGCTTACTTTCTAGAACAATTCAAATAAATCTATTTTTAGATAACTGGGGTTTTGAAATCTATAATTTAAGCCAACTCTGCCAGTATCAACCCCATTATAGTTTAATCAGTAATTATTTGATTGCTACTAAGAACAGTTAAATCGGTGTACAGAAAAAAAAAAAACAAACAACTATGCTTTGTAGCAATAAGAAAAGACTGTCCACTTTGAAAACAAGTGATTTTTCACCATGATGATGTGTACTTGCTGCTACTACACTGCTAGGAAACCATAGGCCATCTTTCTTCCAAAAAGAATGAAGTGAAATGAAAACTCTTTAGTAATTTAGCCCCTCTTCTAGAGGAAAAACCTGCTCCTTTCTTTTGCAGAGGAAAGCATCAACCAAGTCAGGAAAATGTTTTCAGTAGAAGAATAGGATTTCCTTGAGAAGGGCAGTTAGAGAAACGCGGCAGAGAATATCCCCGTGTCATGATGGCCAACTGTGAATTAGCCCTTCCTTCTTGCTGTCTGGATAAAGAAAAGCTGTTCCTTACTTTGAACAGCCAGGCTTCCTTCTTGGAAACAGTGATTATTTAGTCTGTGGAAGATTAGAATGTCAGTTCTTGGGGAGGGGATATAAGTTCCTTGTGGATCTTTAGCAAAGACGAGGCTAACAGAGTGTGAGGCCTTGTCTTACAGACTGTAAGAAAGACTATGAGCTGCCAAGGGGAAAGACTTATATAACCAGAGATGAGTTTAACAAGATGACTGTTGTCCTGCTGTGCCCTACTCCCAGTTCTCCAGGCAACAGAAATCAGAGGAGAGGGCACAGCTGCACTGGAAGAATGGAGGCAACACAAGTAACTATGAAGACCTAGGCTCTAGGTATGACATGAGACAGCTTTTAAAGGTAAGCAAGCATTCCTTTCTCTGCGCGTAGTCAGTAATGAATAAGTTGAGCTAAATGGTCTAAGCTCCTGTACCAGCAATGTTAACGTATTGAGATAAAGCCTACATCAGAAACTCAGCTGAAAATGGGCAGGGTCTGCCTACTTATCTACAGTCTAATCAACATGATTAGAAAAACATTATAGTCTTGCCAGTCAGGATCTGACTTTACCCAAACAAAATCAAAGTATTTTATGAACAAATTCAGTTTTAAGTTATGGTTACAATTTTCATATTCAATAAAAAAACCGCAAAGACTTGAAGCACGTAAAATCACATCTGGATTAAGGATATAAGATATACATCTATATACAGGTATGTATGTATGTATGTATGTATGTATGTGTGTATGTATGTGTGTGTGTATACACACACACACACACACACACACACACACACACACATATATATATCTTGGCCTATTACTGTTAAAAATACATTTACTCAGTAAATACAAAAACTTTAAAATATTCGTGCTATGAGGACATCTCAATGGGTACAAGTTGCAGGCCCGGAAACTTGAGTTCAGTCTTCAGAATCCACATGGTGGAAGGAGGAAACCCAACACCCACAAGTTGTCCTCTGCCCGCCACACATGTGCTGGGCCAAGAATTTGTATAGACATACAAATAAACAAACAAACAAACAAACAGAAAGATAAATGTAATAAAAAATTTAAAATATTCTTTATAAATTAAAATCAAATACAACATTGTTCAGGTCTGTGAACCTAAAACATGAGGACAATCATAAAAAAGTTAACTTATATTTTCAAGTTTTTAATATATTTTCTGTTTTTAACTTGTTATAATATCACCAGAATTTTTGGTTTACCTTTCTTTGGTATTTATCTGTGTATGTATGTAGTACACACACCTGGGCAATTAATATAAAGACTTCCTAGTATAAAGAAAAAAAAAAAAAAAAAACTAAAGGGAACAGCTTTCTATTTAGCCTATTAGTAGAACAGGAGCATGAAGATTATTACTAAAATAAATATTTTTAATCTGCAAGAAACTTTTCATGCCAGTAAACAAAGGTAAGTAGTTTATAATAAACACAGAAAATATTACTAAATGAACAATTGTACTGGGATTATAAAAATAAAGATGAATGAATTTTCTTTCTTGTTATAGAGGCTGGCTTGTGTATATCCTTTTACAAACATTTAAAGAGATACTGTGTACAATGTCAACCTTCCTTTGAAGAGGAAAAAACTAGTACAACTAAGGCTGTTCCTTGAGCCAGCTGTGCACTAACTTAATGAGTTGCCTGTTTCTGAAACAGAGCACGTAAGGGTACTGTGGCTACGGCACAGTACCCTTGCAATACAGCCTAGGAGGACCACCATCTAAGCTATGTGACATGGGCAAGCTTCCTGAAAACTCTGCCCTGGATTTCCTTTTCTCGAACACCCTCTTAAAACAGTTATGGGAATTCAATGAGTTAGCAGGAGAAAAGTATCTATCCTTCAGTTTTAAAAGTATAGGTTTAAATGCTTACATTCTACCTAGACTCTAACAAATTTTAATAAACAATTTCTAATTAATATACAGCTAGAATTCACTAATTGTTACACCCTGAAGTATAAACAGAAAGCCCTCTTCTTATGAAACTGTTTCACCTAGCTTCAGACCCTACTAAGTGTAAAAGCCATTTGAGATACAGCCATTATATACACATATACAGATACATTCTTCACCTAACAATTTTATTTCTTACATCTACTCATATCTCCACATGCTGCCCAGGCTACCCACAACACCACTGGCCCAGCCCAATCACTCTGCCTTACCCTTTTGAGTACTGGATTGATATGTTTATGATTTTTCTTATCACTGTTACCTACAAAGTAAAGCACCTGTTTGCTATTGTTACTTTTTGTGAAACCTGATACTGAATTCTGACTAGTTTCTGTGCAGAAATGGTAGCTACAGTATTCTATCCAGGAAAAGATAAAAAAGTAGAAAAGTGTAACTAATTGGTAGGAAAGTTCTAAAATTTTTATGCATTGTATATTTGACTGGAAGACGTCATAGTCTACATTCAAGCAAAAACTATTCTGAATTAGTGTTAAAAGCAATTCTGTAATAGAACATCGCTCACTTCCTTTTAAAAGTTTCTACTTACAGAATAATTTCAATACATATTTTCATTTCAAAACTGTATCATTTATTACTATTTGTATTCATCTTAGGCAGCTGTCCAGTAGAATGCTGCTAGACTAAATGCTTTGTCCTACAAAAATTATGCTGAAACCTAACTTTCTATTTTCCTGTATTGGGGGAAGTGGCTAGGTGGTGATTAGGTTATAAAGCCCTCAAGATGTAATTAGTGTCCCTACAGGAGTCCTTGAGAGCTCCTGTACAGCATGTCTGCTATGCTATGACACAGAAGACCACCAATGAACTAGATTGACGAGCACTCACGGCACACCAAGCCAACTGGGGCATCCTTGCTGGGCTGCCTGCCTCTAGGACTATGGAAATTTTCTGTTGTTCATGAGTCTACAATCCACGTTATCATGACACAGCAGCTGATAACAGTGTTTGATGTGATAGAATGTAGTGGGCAGTCTCAGGCTAAAGACTTAGTAACTATGTTTCTGAATTATACAAAACTACCTCAAAATTTCAAGTAACAAAAATAGGGAAACTTGGTATTACTCTACTACATGGCATTATCTGCTTGCAATACTTGATCAATACACTGATCAACTGTAATTTATACACAGAGATTACATTATACTAAAGTAAGCCTTATTATTAATAATACTGCTAAAACTAAACTAAAATTAGTAACTTAAAATTTTAGAAAAATAAAACTTTCAAAAATTAAATCTGGACATACCTCTAACATTAATTGTGTAAACTCTTCATTACTAAGGAATGTAGGTTTCCAGTCCTGTCGAATTTCACTAGCATCTGATTGTGCAGTGATTTCTGTAAACAGATTAACACATTAGTGGCATATTCTAACCACTAGGAGATACAAAACCCTACAAGGCGCCTTTTCTTCCTACTCAATGATAAGAAACAGGCAGAGTTATTGTCTACTTAACAGGAGGCCATGTTCTGAAAATGTGAAATGTTGTCTTCTAGTACTTGGTCTGGATAATTTAAAAACAATTTTTTTGAAGTTTTTACTGGGGGACAAGTTAAGGCTTTGATAACACTCTATGGGTAACAGGCCTAAGTCTGCTTCCCGCCTGACATCATTAGACAATAAAAACAAGCAAATTACAAGATTATTCCAAACATTTTGAAGAAACTTTTTACCTTGCCTTTTCCTTGCTTGTGTATCTAGAGCACAGATAAAAAGTCAGCTCAAAAGAAAGGTGCCAATGAGGTCAGCAGGTCTGTTTTCAACAAAAAAGGACCCATTTTGGGCAGGGCAAAAGATTCCTCCTAATCTCGGCTGCTTTATATTCATTAATCCAGGAGACTAAACTAAGATTTGGGGCAGAAACATATGAAAGTATCACGTGCAAAGTGACTTTGTTCAGTGTTTTCTTTCTTAACGTTCCTAACAATATGGAGCTTGCCAAAGCCTCCAAAGTCTCTGGCATGGCATAAACATTTTAACACATTAGAATTTCATTTTGCTACAGTGAATAGATTTAGTTATAAGAATGTTTTCACAAATAATAAAATTTCAACTATTTGTTCAACAAATACTATCACTTTTCTTTTTAAACCAGGGTCTTACTATGTATCTCAGACTGGCTTCAAACTTATGATCCCCCTGCCTCAGTTTCCAAGTGCTAGGATTATAGATGAGCACCACCACGCCTCAACACTGTTTTTTCCATTTAAAATGCAGACATATAACAACAACCAGACAACTTAAAGATCAATGTGACAGGCTGTACTCTATCTTACTTTATAGTGAAAAGAATGGATTATACTATTTTAACATTTTTGTTACCAAATAGTTAAATGTATATTTACATACTGAAATTGGCATATTATAACATACTAAAACAGGTAACTAAAAATTATAGTTAATAATTCTGTGACATATAGACATGCTCTTCAAATTATTGCTGTCAATTACATACAAAATTATATATACAAATTCATTCAGATTTGGTTAATATAGGTCTACCTTAGATGAATAAACACTTTAAAAATTTCTCTGGAGTTAACACAAAATTTCATTTCTGTGAGAATTATACACCCAACTATGGAAGCAAAACCTAGTTAATGCCAAAATTAACTATTGTTAATTGTTATTGTTAATTGTTCTATTGTCAGATGGTGGAAATGTAAGCATTTCACTTTATTTCATTCAACAATCATTTACTGAGCTCCTACACTGTTTTAAAGAACTGATTTCACTGAGTGTGCCATGTAAACAAAAGGAGCTCAATACAGTGAGGACACTATTTACAGAGAGGCTCAATGTAAGTGACTGACATATTTACAAAAGAATCAGTAGAAGAGAACATGGGATGTATGATATGATGCTAACATAAATGAAAACATTACAAAAGTATTTTCATGTTTGAGTCCTGGGAATCTAATCAAATGGTATAAAAATGGAAAAAGCCAGTTTAGGAGGAACTGGCTTGACAAAATGAATACCATTTTGGAGGAACTGAGTTTGGAGACATGGAAAGTGGTATCTACAAGTTAACTGGAAATACAAGGATGAAAATTTTGCATCTGAAAACAAAGATTCATCAGTAGCTTAATACAGATGCACAGCCACTACAATCATACAAAGAGTTATCCACAGGAAAAGAGGGTTGAGAAAGTAAGAACACAAGGATAAACCTTCAGAAACATCCCATTTTCAGAGCAGAGAAGGTAAGAGGAGAGAGTGACAGACAGGAAGGGGAAGTGGCAGCAGAATATGGAAGCCACGGGAGAAGAAAATCAGTAGCAGGCAGATCAAGACCACCAGTTCTAAGTCTACAGAGTAAAGAAGAAGAAAAGGCTCCTGCTGTACTGGGGATGGATGGGTAATGTCAGTAATGAAAGTAATGGCACACAAACCAGTCTAGCAGTGCATTACAAGGGGTGGTAAGGAAAACGGAAACAGAGGCAGCAGTTAGCATCTGTCTTCCCAAAAACTGCATGTTACTTCATCTGAAAAGAAAGCATACATCCTTCTCTACTTCTTAGAATTTAGTATCTAGCCTACTTAAATACCAAATTCTTTAAAAGTTTCTTTTCATGACTGATTTAGCCAAGATAATTGTTTTCTATTAACAAATATTTTTAGGTGTGTTTATTTCCTAGACATACACTGAAATGACCTTTTAAAGTGGCCTAGAACCCTACGTGCCAGATTCACAAACACGCCTATTGCCTTTAACACAAACATGCTCAGTTACATTCACATCTTCCTGCTTTTGCACATAGTATCTCCTTTGTGTAAAATACTGTCTCACTTACTTAAACTAAAAGAAAGACTCAGTTAAAAAAATAACCTATTTGTACACCTTTAAACATTATTTCTTTTATGATACAAGATCAGTAAAAAATGTGCTTGCAAACATAAAAGTTTACAAACACTACTTTTTTTGTATTTTAATTATATGTTTCCAAATCTGTCTCCCCTGGCTTAAGCTGAAAGCCAAGAAAGTTGTTCTAACTTTATTAGGACCTAGAATACAGAATCCACTAAATGTTTGTTGAATGAAAGAATGAACACACTAGGAATCCTTTTGTAGTTTTATCTTAAACATCATACAACTCATATTTTAAGGGGATGCCTCTTTTAGAAGTCAGTATTTTACCTTTATGTTTGCGTAAAAAGTCAATGCTCTTCTGCAGAACAGTGGACTTGTCCATCTTCCTCGAGTTTCCAGGGAGCATAGAGCCCAGCTCCTTAATGAGAACATTGAACTGATCTCTGCGCTTTTTTTCTGACTTGTTTCTAGACACTCTATGAAAAAGAAATTAAATGTGTAGTTTTTAAACAATCCATTTAATTACACAAATAGTTTCATAAAGTGCTCAATTTGGACACAACATAATTTATTTATGCTTTCTTTTCAAAAAGTCTGGAAAAAATTTGTAAGTTGCATACTGACCATCTAAGCTTTTCTACTCTGTTACTGTTTCTAATACATGTAGTATTATACATTATTTACTATTTTCTTATTTTAATATTTCTATTATTTACTTATTTATATAAATAGCTGTGTATGTCTGTATATGTGTATGTGCCTGAGGCTAGGGATATCCCCTGGAGCTGCAGTTACAAGAAGTTGTAAGTTGCCTGATGTGGGTGCTGGGTATTGAAATCATGTACTCTGCATGAACAATACATGTTCTTAACTACTGAGCCATTTCTCCAGCCCTAATTTAATGTTTTCTATTTCATAGCAACTACCTTTTTGCTTTGTCCTTGTCATCTTCTTCCACCAATCCATCAAAAATACTACTGTCATCTCTACAAGAGAAAACAAAGTAAAAAACTGAGTAAGAAGAGCACAATAAGCACCGCCATAAGTAAAGCAACAGGAAAGCCTGTTCAGATTCACTTGTTTCTTAGGTGATCAAAGAAATACAGGCTCAGGAACCATGAGCTTATTTTCTAATAAGGTTTAATTAGACTTAATTATATTTTAAGTTTTTCATACCTGAATTTTTTTGTTGTTCTTGTTTGTTTGTTGTTTGTTTGTTTTTTGAGACACAGTTTTTCTGTGTGGTCTTGGTTGTTCCCAAAACACTTTATAGACCAGGCTGGCTTTGAACTCACAGTGATCCGCCTGTCTCTGCCTACCTGAGTGCTAGAATTAAAGGTGTGCACCACCATACCCAGCTTCACACAAATTTTAAGGGCAGTTATACTCAGCAATATGTACAGATCAGGTTAAACAAGAATTTATTTAATTTAAATATCTTATTTCAAAATTTTCATAACTACTGAAAATCTACCTAAAGCCAGGTCGAAATTATGTCACTGTATTAAACTACCCACTTGAAATTATATTAACCATTATTCTAATAGTAAATTTTAAAAACATACCTGTCAACAATTGAGCTCATTTTACTACAGCTTACGGTAAACAGCATAACACATTATGTTTTCTTCTTGTGGTAGACATTTGTACTTCTCCTTGGGAGAAGGAAAAAAGAAATGGTTATTAGTTTTCTAAAACACTTTTACAAAGTTATCTTGAGAATACTATAGGTTACTCAGCAGACTTCAAATGAAGCTGGTACGTTATTTTCAAGCAAACATCTTTAGATGGGGAATATTTTAGGCATTTTTCTAACAATAATATAGAAAAATTCAAATTCATGTATTTCTATAAAGTAATAAACTGTCATTTTTAATACTCGGCATATACTTTTGACTATATAACTGATCACAAGAATACCATCTAATAAATATTTGCTAACACTCTATTTTCTGCTAAACAGCATGGTAGTACTATCTATATGGAGGAGAAGCTCAGATCTACAGGCAAAAATCTGATTTTCTTGATAAATAGCACTTACTAAAGTTAAATCAAGATCAAAGAACCAATTTAAATACTCCCTTTAAGAAAACAAAAGCAGTCACTAAAAATCTCCCAACCGAAAAAACCCCAGGGTGAGATGGTTTTAGTGCAGAATTTTATCACCCTTTCAAAGAAGAGCTAATACCAATACTCCTCAAATTATTCTACGAAATAGAAACAGGAGGAACATTGCCAAGAGTGGCCAGTCACCCTGATACCTAAAACACACAAAAACTCAACAAAGAGAAAGACTTTCAGACCAATCTCCTTTATGAACATTGATGCAAAAATACTCAATAAAATACTAACAAACCAAATCCAAAAACACTTCGAAAAACACCATCCATCATGATCAAGCAGGCTTCATCCCTGGGATGCAGGGATGGTTCAACATATAAAAAACCATCAATGATCAATGTAATCCACCATATAAACAAAGTGAGGAAATAAAACAACATGATCATCTCATTAGATGCTGAAAAAGCCCTTGACAAAATCCAACACCCCTTTATGATAAAAGTCTTAGTATCAGGAATATAAGGCACATACCTAAATACAATAAAGGCAATGTACAGCAAGCCAATAGCCAACATTAAATTAAATGGAGAGAAACTTAAAGCATTTCCACTAAAATCAGGGACAGGAGATACAGCTGCCCACTCTGTGTTTATTCAATATAATACTTGAAGTTCTAGCTAGAGCACTAAGACAACTAAAGGAAATCAAAGGGGTACAAATTGGAAAGGAAAAAGTCAAAATATCATTATTTACATAAGTGATCCTAAAAATTCTACTAGGGACCTCCTACAGCTGATAAATGAACACCTTCAGCAAAGAAGCTGGATACAAAATTAACTCAAAAAAAAATCCATAGCCCTCCTACATACAAATGCTAAACTGGTTGAGAAAGAAATTAGGGAAACAAATCCCTTTACAATAGCCACAAATAATATAAAATAGCTCGGTGTAACTCTAACCAAGCAAGTGAAAAATCTGTATAAGAACTTCAAGTCTCTGAAGAAAGAAACTGAAGATATCAGAAGATGGAAGATCTTCCCATGCTCATGGATTGGTAGAGTTAACATAATAAAAATGGCCATCCTACGAAAAGCAATCTACAAATTCAATGCAATTCCCATCAAAATTCAAACACACTTCTTTACAGACCTTGAAAGAACGATACTCAACTTCATATGAAAGAACAACAACAAAAAAAATTACAGGATATCTAAAACAATAATGTACAATAAAAGAACTTTTAGAGGTATCACCACCCTGATTTCAAGCTGTACTACATAGCAATAGTAATAAAAACCTCATGGAATTTGCATAAAAACAGACAGATTAATCAATGGAATCAAATTGAAGACCCAGAATTAAACCCACATACCATGGACACTTGATTTTTTTTTTACAAAGAATCCAAAGTATACAATGGAAACAAGAAAGCATCTTCAACAAATGGTGCTGGTCTAATCGGATGTCTGCATGTAGAAGAATCCAAATATCCCTACCTATCACCCTGTACAAAACTCAAGCCCAAGTGGATCAAATACCTCAACATAAAAACAGATATACTAAAGCTGAAAGAAGAGAAAGTGGAGGAATAACCTTGAATGTGTTGGCACAGGAGACAACTTCCTGAACAGAATACCAACAGCTCAAGCACTAAGATCAACAATTAATAAAAGAGACCTTATGAAACTGAAAAGCTTCTGTAAGGTGAAAGATATCTTCAAAAGGACAAAATGACAGCCTACTAAATGGGAAACACTCTTCACCAACCTTACATCCGATAAAGGACTGATATCCAAAATATTACCCAGCTATTAACTTAAAAAATTAGACATCAACAAACCAAGCAACCCAATTTAAAAGTGGGGTACAGAAAAGGAAATAAAGTAGACATCTGAATTAGATGGAGGGAGGAAAGTGGATGGAAGAGCGGGTGGAAATTGGATGGAGAAGAAGGGGTGGAGAGGGGAACAGAGGTGGGGATAAGGTATGGGGACAGATGGGAAGAGAAAATGGAAATGGGGGGAAGGCATCTCTGGAATGGGAGAGGTTCCCAAAAGTGTATGAGGGTGGCCCTAGGTGAGACTCCTAGAAGCAGGGAATATAAAGGCCACCTCCTGTAGCCAGGTGGGACTTTCCAGTGGAAAGTCATAAAACATTAGACCTAAAATTTATCCTGCCTACAGAAAGTGTCAGGATAAAAATGGAGCAGAGATTAAGGGAATGAGCAACCAATGACTGACCCAACTGAGATCCATCCAATGGGAGAGCACCAACACCTGACACTATTGATACTCTGCTATGATTGCAGACATGAGGCTAGCAGGAGGCTTCACCCAGCAGCTGATGGAAACATGAAGAGCCACAGCCGAACAACAGGTAGAGCTGGGGGAGTCTTGCAGAAGAATGGAGAAAAGGACTAAGGGAGCCAGAGGGGTCAAGGATACCACAAGAAGACCTACAGAGTAAATTAACCTGGACCCATGAGGGCTCACAGAGACTGAATCACCAACAAAAAAGCATGCATGGGCTGGAACCAGGCCCCCTACACATATGTAGCAGGTGTGCAGCTTGGTCACCAAGTGGGTCTCCTAACAATTGGGGTAAGGGCTGTCTCTGACTCTGTCGCCTGCCTTTGTAGCTGCCTTGTCTGGCCTCAGTGGAGGAGGATGCACTTAGTCCTGCTGTGACTTGAGGTACAGTCCAGGGTGGGAGGGGGGTGCAAAGAAGGGGAGGGAAAAATGGGGGTAGAGGAGGTATGAGGGTAGGATTAGGAGGAAAGGAGGGAGGGAGCTTCAATCAGGCTGTAAAGTGATTAAATAAATTAATGGACAATATGGGGTACAGATCTAAACAGAGAATTTTCAACAGAAGAATCTCTACTGGCCAAGAAGCACCATTACAGCATTAAATGTTTGAACATTAAAGAAATGTTCAACCTCCTGAGTCATCTGGGAAAATGCAAATCAAAATGACTATGAGATTCCATCTCAACAATCATCAGAATGCCGAAGATCAAAAACTCACTGGACAGCACATGCTGGAGAGGATGTGGAACTAGGGAAACACTCCTCTGCTGCTGTTGGGAGTGCAAACTTGCACAAACACTTTGGAAATCAATTTGGCGCTTTCTCAGAAAACGGGGAACAGCTCCATCTCAAGACCCAGCTATACCACTCCTGGGCATACACCCAAGAGGCTCCACCATACCACAAGGACACATGCTTAACTATATTCATAGCAGCTTTATCCATAATAGCCAGAAACTAGAAAAAAACTAGATGTCCCTCAACTGAAGAATGGATAAAGAAAACGGGGTACATTTACACAACAGAATATTACCCAGCTGTTAAAAACAGTAACATCATGAAATATGCAGGTAAATGGTGGGAACTAGAAAAGATTATCTGAGAGAGGTAACCCAGCCCTGGAAAGATATGGTATGTTCTTATTTATAAGTAGATAGTACCCATAAAGCACAGGGTAACCAGGCTACAACCCACACACCCAAAGACACTAAGTAACAAGGAGGGCCCAAGGGTGCTTCAATCTCACCGAGAAGGGGAAACAGAATAAACATTGGGGGTGCATGGAGGGAGGAAACTGGGTGGGGTAGGGGGACGGGAGCAGGAGGAAGAACGGAGAGAGAGCATGGGGAGAGAGAACTGGAATAGGTGTGGGGGGTTATTCTGGGACAAGTTAGAATCCTAGGACAATAGAAACTCTTAGGAATCTATGTGGGTGACCCTGGTTAAGACTCCTAGCAATGGGAGTTAAAGTTTGAAACGGCCATCTCCAGTAACCAGGAAAGACTTCCAAGGGAGAAACTGGGACACCAACCCAGCCGTAAAACCTTAGACTCTCAATTTCTCCGACTTACAAGACGTACAGGGGTAAAGGTGGAGCAGAAAATGAAGGAATGGCCAACCAATGACTGGCCCAGCTTTAAAAAAGGGAAATCTGTTATGAGCAAGGAGACAGCTATCTAATCAATTATAATAAAATGCACAGTGAAGGTTGTATTGTTCAGCGGTATCACCTAGACAGGAAGCAATCACATGTGTCTGTGAAAAAAAAAAATGGCTTAAAAGACTTCCTGACTCACTATTAAGCTTTTCTCTACTACTGTCAACAATAATTAAAAAAAAAAAAAAAAAAAAGTTGCTCAGCGTATAACTTCACTCATAGTCATACATGCAACTTATGACTCTACTTGCTCACAGGGTAGTTCAAGATCTTTTTTTTTTCTTTACTATTTTTCATATTAATTAGTTTATTTACTTTGTATCCCAGCTGTAGCCCCCTCACTCATTCCCTCCCAATCCCACCCTCCCTCATCTCCTTCCTGCCCCTCTCTAAGTCCACTGATGGGGGAGGTCCTCCTCCCCTTCCATCTGATCCTAGCTTATCATATCTCTTCAGGGCTGGCTACAATGTCCTCTTCTGTGGCCTAGCAAGGCTGCTCCCCTCTGGGGGGTGGGAGGTGGGGGGTCAAAGAGCCAGCCACTGAGTTCATGTCTGGTAGCTCAAGATCTTTATTCTACTTTCCCAGCCAATAGATAGCTTAAATGAAGTGAAATGAGGAAGACTAAATATC